GGTGGGAGAGAGAGAGAGAAAGAGAGAGAGGGAGAGAGAGAGAGAGAGAGAGAGAAATAGCTACCTAGCTAGCTATATGCCTACCTAGCTAGCTAGCTAGCTAGAGAAATAGATGGATAGATAGAGTGATGGCTGGAGTCTGGAAACTCAACTCCACTGTCTGAAACACTTTTATTTTGTGTAACTTTGAGATTAAAAATATATATATTATTTATCATTGTGTAGAAAGACCCACATCCCCCATAGGTGTGATGCCCCAATTAACGTGTAGCTTGGAGGAAACGGATGGTGTGGGGCGCAGCAGGGTATTTAGACAGCCACATACACACGGTGTACCATGTGAAGTTCTGCTTATTGCTTATTTTTCTCAGACTCTGGCCTGTGAACTCGCTCGAGTCGCAAAGCACAGGCTATGCCGCTCAATCGCCGGGGTCACAAAGGCCAGACGCGAACTACTAAATGAGGTCAGGGTGAGTCTAGCTCACTTGGATGAAACAGGACTGGTCCATTAAAAACAAGCTGAAATCAACTAGACAAGAAAGAGTGTTTCAAGTGTACTGTTTATTTATTTATTTATTTTATGTCTTGATGAAAGACACCTAGGAGCTGTTATAACTTTTGAAAAAGTGAATAACAGATCCTCTTTAAACTAAAGAATTAGGATTTTGCTGATGATTAACGGCCACAAATGCATACAGGATTTCGAAACAAAAATGTCTGCTTACGTTGCAACATGCGAGTCACCGGATGTGATTACCCGCCAGATGAACATCTATTCTCCCGTTGTTGCTTACTCAAATGTGGATTTAATTCGAAGTTAGAGCAAAAGCGTACAGTACATCCACAGCTGACCTGAATATGGAGGGGTTTGAAGGGGCTTATCAGTGGCGTAGCACCTTGCACCCAAAATGATGACTGCTGGCTTGTGACGGAAATGTGAAGTGTACAACTCCCTCTTTCGCTCATGTTTAACAATCTCTCATTATCCTAACTGCTGTCATAACTTGTGCAAACATGTCCGGGTAATAACTGGGTTTACAAATGATGTAAGGAAGCAGGTAATGTTTATTCACTGGTATATTTGGGGGGGTGGGGGGGGGGGGTCTGATTTGAAGGTCACATGAATGTATTTTGAAAAATAATGTTAATGAACGTTTGGGGCTTTTTATGACAACAGTTCAAGAACAACATTTGGCCCACGGACCGTATTTTGGCCACTGCTGATTAAATATAACCAGCCTGTTCTCACTAGATAGGACTCTAATTAGTAGAAAAATGACAATGTTCAGTACCTTCTTTTCAATGTTATGCACATGATTATGTCCATACTGTGTTGGAAGATGGCAAAATGTTCTGTTTTGTGGCCACAAACGACATTTTCCGTGCTGGTTGTCTGCCATGATTTGGTGTGTGTTGGTGCAGGTCCAGTGTTGATCATTCAGTCATTCATTTTTTCTTCCGCTTATCCTGTTCAGGGTCACGGGTGAGCTGGAGTCCATCCCAGCTGACTTTGAGGCCGGAGGTACTCTGAGTGGTCGCCAGCCAATCGCAGAGCACACATAGACAAGCAAGCATTCATTTGCACCTGTGGACAATTTTGAGTGTTCAATGAACTGAATTAAAACCATGTTTTTGGAGGAGCGCAAACTCCACACACGGGAATAGTCTGAGTCAAGATTCGAACGAAGAACCTCTGAAGTCTGAGCCAGACAGGCTAACCACATAAGATTGAATTTGCTTTTAGAGCAGGTAAACAATTCTAAACAAATGATGCTGAAAAGGCAAGATATGATTACGATTTTTTTTTTTGTCCAGCAGGGGGTGGGGGGGTTTTTCAAGGCTTTCAGACAAGTGCACTGGGCATGTTGCAGTCCTCCTTTCGGTTTATCCTTGTCTTGTATTTTTCAAAAACACTCGACTGAAAGTGGCCTCTGTGGTAAAGTCCCATGTGACTGGAGAGCAACTTTCAAATGTCATAGTAAATGGTCCATCTGCAGTACAGCACAGCACTCTAGTGGCCACCAGGGTAATAATAGAGCGTGTTGGGATGTGTTGTGTGAAGTGCTTCTTCTTGCCAAGCGTCCATCTGCGTGAACTTGTTTCACCGTTGCGAGCAGGTGCAAGATTCCGGCCAGCCAGGTGATTGGTAGAATAGTCTCCCAAAAACCCATTTACATCTGAGGTGACATTTTGACACAGTGTGCCTGGCAGACGGTGTCAGAAGGTGTACAAATAAGGTTCCACTCAATGCTGGCATTTTTGTTAGGTCTTTGAATAACCATTTTCAATACAAATAGTGAGTTGAGAATATCACATCTGAACACTTTGTCTTGTAAAGTTTGCTTATTTTCTGTGAAATGTTGCTTATTGATATTTGGGAACCGTTTTTAAGCGTGAAGATGACAATATGATCAATTTTTTCCGACCCATTTCAAATGCTCTGCCATCTACCCACAATGCATAGCAATTCTGCTGAGTCTGGCGCTCTGTTTGACATTGTAAATGTGTCAGAGGGATGCTGCTTTTCGGATCAGCCTGATGCAGCACTTGTAGACCTCACTGGGGCTTCACATCCACCTAGAATAAGAAAAGTCTCATAAGCACTTTTGATGACTGTGAAATTTCCTCGGGGCGCTCGTCTTGCATGAAGCTGTGTCTGCTTATCTGTGGCCTCGTTCTGTTCAAATGTCACGTTGGTTTAAAGTGGTTATGAGTGGGGCCCATTACAAAAGAAAACCACCAGATGAGAGAAATCATGCAGATTAGAAATTCTCTTGCCCTCTTTTCCCCCTGCTGTGAGGACGTGAGTGCTTCATACATCTGTGAACTTAACACTGAACAAGCTTAAAGCCTCTAGTTTTAGGTTGAATTTTTTTTAATTTAAAAAACGACTCAGATGACATCAAAAATTAGTTTGGCGAATAATAAATCCAAGATTTCATGTGGTTTCTTTCCAAAGTGTCTCGTTTCACTTTACGGAATCAAATTTACTAGCGTCAAGCAAAGGTATGAAAGTTATCCACGATATTATTCTTTCAGTACCAAATAAATAAATAACTGTAATATGGAACTCTAATTACATAATGGTGGGCAACACTGACAGGATACATTGTTTATGATCTCCTGTAATTAAAAATCAAGAGGAAAAAAAAAAACAATTTCCCCCAAACCATTCAGATACCATAAAATGTTTTTCCATTTATTTATTTACGTATTTATTTATTTATTTATTCAATTCTTATATTTGTTTGTCTGTTTGCTTTTTTTCTATTGTATGGAATTAGTTACTTATTTCGTTTCTTCATATTACTATTATTATTATTATTATTATTATTATTTTACTAATCATAGTAGTAGTATCATTATTATCATTATTCAAATTTTCTCAAATTAAAAAGCCTGGTCTCGAAAAAATAAACATCTACCAAACCATATAGATATTGTACCAGGATACATTTTTTGTTGTTTATTTATTAATAAACTCTCTCTCTCTCTCTCTCTCTCTCTCTCTCTCTCTCTCTCTCTCTCTCTCTCTCTCTTCATCGTATTTTTGATCTTAGTGTTGTTTTTAATGATTATTTTGTATTCAATACAAATTAAACACAGGCGAAAGTAACCCCGAAAAACGTTGTCATGACGTCATGACGTAGACGCCGTTTTGCAGCGTTTGTTCCACCAGGAAGGAAAATACGAAGCTTGTTTAGCTAACTGTCATGCAACACATTGATGAGCATTGCTGAAGGGGAACCGTGCCGGTCGTTAACGAGAGGTGAGGATTGAATTACTCAAGCTGCTCTTGTCGCTGTTGTCTCATTTGTCTCAAGGTGAAGACGGATAGCAGTTGCGTGGCTCATGTTAGCATCAGGGTAGCTAACGCCAAACAAAAGTCGCTGTTGCGGGACGAAGAACGGATTTTCGAATGAATTAATTTGAAGGCATTGTTTATCTTGGTACTTGGAGAGTAGTCCCTACAGAAGAGGATTAGGGGCAGTGAAGAAAAAAAAACCAAGGTTGGCAGGATTCTCACTTTTATTTCAGAATTCTGACTTAATTCTGATTTTAAAGTCAGAATTCTGAGATAAAAGTGAAAATTCTGCTATTCAGCAGACCAAGAAGAATAGAGTATACAGTGCAATAGTGTTTGAAGCGGTGATAGATGAAACGGTAAGAGAATCAGAATCAAGTCTATTTTCAACAGTGAATCAGCGACGTCATGATCATATCGTGCATGACGTCACACACGTTTGTCGCAAGTTTGGTGTGCAAGTAAATACGCAGCTGTAGCGTCCTTCGATGTATACAGAGGGAATGGATTTTCCCGCCCCATTTAGATCTGCCTTAATTGATTGTTATGGTCTTGAAAATAACGCTTTACCTGACCTACAAAGCTATTATTTTTCATTCGACATGTACAATGTATATTCTAGCACTGTGGCATTTTCCTCTCCAGGTTCAACATGTCTGCGGCTGAGCCCATCATCTCGTCGAGACAGACGCATAAAGAAATCAATGGCATCACCACACAAGTTGTCTGCACAGAGTTCAGTAATTACATATTTATTGTCATAACACAGTACGGTAAAATCGGAACGCTGGTGTCCGTCACCCCTGAGTCCAGGTGCGATGACTTCAGCAATCCAATGTTCTCCACCAAAGTGCTGCTGGGAAAGGATGAGGTATGCGGGATGAATTGGTTTGAAAAGGTGAAATGTGTTTCTGTTCAGTTTTGTGTGTGTACACATATATATATATATATACACCACACAAGTTGTCTGCACAGAGTTCAGTAATTACATATTTATTGTCATAACACAGTACGGTAAAATCGGAACGCTGGTGTCCGTCACCCCTGAGTCCAGGTGCGATGACTTCAGCAATCCAATGTTCTCCACCAAAGTGCTGCTGGGAAAGGATGAGGTATGCGGGATGAATTGGTTTGAAAAGGTGAAATGTGTTTCTGTTCAGTTTTGTGTGTGTACACATATATATATATATATATTTTTTTTTTTTTTTTGTGTTTTGTTTTCAGCCCCTGACGCATGTGTGTGGCAAAAACCTGGGAACATTTGTGTCCCAAGAAGCCGGCAACAGGCCCATCCTACTGGGACTGGCACTCAAGGACTCCTCCGTAGATGCAATTAAGCAAATGAAAGAGCTCATCAAAAGCTGTAAAGTTTGGTAGGAAAGTTGCAAAGTGGAGAGGAGAATGCCCCAAAATCTCCCTTTTTATAGTTTTTGTTTTCATGGAGTTGTATGTTTTTAAATAGATGTTTTATTACATATAAAAATGACACTTACTGTTTTTGCAATTTGCCATGTGAACATGATTCATAATACCGTACTGTTCTGTCGCAATGTAAATATCCTACAGCATCTCATGATAAGACATTGTCAATAAAATGTGTCACAGATGAGATTTGTACATCATTCATTAACAGAAAATGGAGCTTTTCAGCGGTGCGTATACACGACGGATGCATGTCCTCCCAACAATTGGTAAGTTTGCACCCTGGAATTGGGTGACCTTTCCTGCCGTGACCGAAAGTACAAATACATTTTAAAATGTAAGAAATGATGGATTGAAGCTGTCCTTAGAACTATCTGTGTTTCCGCCACCTTTACACAGGTTGCAGCAGGACATACACTTGATGGCCTTAAAGGGCAAGGGCAATATTTAAATTTGAAATAGTTTAAAAAATGGTTTACGTTTTTTTTTAAACGAGGTGTGGAACATTTTCCCTTTCCTCTGAAACTGATTAATAATCGATCAACCCTTCCACTTATTAATGCCAGACAGGCCATTGATACAATACTGTATGTACAGTGTAGTTAATTCCGAACAAAGTGTTTTAAGAAATGTGCCGTGTCCGAGGCGTCTCCTCTGGCCCTGAAGGCATCACGATGACGACACACGCAGTGCTTTGGTCACGTGACGCATTCACCTGTTCACAACCTGTTTATCCCTCGGACGCTTGATCCGCAAACCTCAGTGTTTCCTCTCGATAGTTTTACGTTTGACACACGTTTCGGCTCATTTTATTCAACAGGTGCCGATAAAAACACAACTTTTAAACTTAGTTGTCGTTTAGGGAGTTTTGAGGGTGTTTTTTTTTTTGGTTGGTTTTATTTCTTGGGCTGCGGTGTTTCCTCCGGACTTCGACCTCAGGGCGCAAGCTTGCGGCCTACCTGTGGCAACACGGAAGTGGAGACGGTTGGACCTTCAGTCGGCGTGTACTCGACAGCCCGCTCATAAATGACGCTTGACGCCTGCGGCCGCCGACCCTGAAAGGCGATTAAATTCTGATGTTGATCTGCTGACGCTCGTTCCGGGACGCTTCTTCGCCGTTTGTGGCAATTGTGTCGACTCCTCCGCAGTTCGGGACAAGGTGAGCACTTTTGAACACATTAGGTATCCGTGTATAACCCGTTTAAATCTTATTTTAAAACTCTATGTGAAAATTTCGATGTTTGTAAGAGTGTGGTTAGGGTCAGTCAACATATATTTATTAAAAGTAGATAATAACCAAAATTGTGGAATTTACTGGTAGAATTTGTGATTCAGTATAACTATTAACATTGAGGTGAACCTAATTAGTTGGCAAACACTACAATTAATAGCGCTGTTTCATCATCTTTTTAGCTTAACAAACAGCAGAGCTTTTTTTTCCCCCACTCATGCCTTGTCTATACAGTAGCTCTTGTCCTCACTCGATAAAATGCAAAGCCCATATATATATATATAGACACACACACACACACAAATAAAGTTTGTTGATAGGTCTCATTATGATGACGTGTGTTCCTCAGATGAACATCTCGGTGGCCGACATGGACGCGTCACTGGAGAACACTTCCATCGTCCATCTGAGCGCCCCCATCATCCCAGACAGGACAGATGTGTCCAACATGACCATCATTCGCACGGCTAATGGCACCATTCTGCAGGACCAGATTTTTCTCAACACCATGACCGCCCGTGCCCTCTCTGGCATCTTTGTGTGGTCCGCCTTGCTCATCACGTGCCACCAGGTAAGCAGGATTTGTTTAGAACTTTTTTTTTTAAGTAACATTGTAAAATTTGAAACTGTCATACAATTGTAAAAAGAAAACAAATACCAGCTGTTATACTTCAGGGAGAATATTCAGCATTTTTTGTCAATTAGTTTCAGTTTCAATTACTGTACACCTAAGATCCACTTGTCACACTCTGGTTGAAATCACTCAGTATTGGGTGGGTGCATGCAAATGCTCTGTACCATGACGGCCAAAGGCCATGCAGCAAGGCGCACATACTCAATCTTGCGAACTCAGATGACTAATTTTTTATTTTTTTAAATGAGTGATGTGCAGCAAACTAGTGACATTTTGCTTGGCACTGGAGCCCCACCTATTCATTAAAATGTAGTGCACATGAATAGAGGTAAATAAAAAGTTCTAAAAGATTAAATGAAAGCACTGTATTTTTGCATTTCAGTGTGGCCTGAAGACTCCCACTCAAAATGTAAGTTATTGGCTTCATGTGGATTGTTTTTTTCAGTACACATATATATATATATATATATATATATTTTTTTTTGTGTTTTGTTTTCAGCCCCTGACGCATGTGTGTGGCAAAAACCTGGGAACATTTGTGTCCCAAGAAGCCGGCAACAGGCCCATCCTACTGGGACTGGCACTCAAGGACTCCTCCGTAGATGCAATTAAGCAAATGAAAGAGCTCATCAAAAGCTGTAAAGTTTGGTAGGAAAGTTGCAAAGTGGAGAGGAGAATGCCCCAAAATCTCCCTTTTTATAGTTTTTGTTTTCATGGAGTTGTATGTTTTTAAATAGATGTTTTATTACATATAAAAATGACACTTACTGTTTTTGCAATTTGCCATGTGAACATGATTCATAATACCGTACTGTTCTGTCGCAATGTAAATATCCTACAGCATCTCATGATAAGACATTGTCAATAAAATGTGTCACAGATGAGATTTGTACATCATTCATTAACAGAAAATGGAGCTTTTCAGCGGTGCGTATACACGACGGATGCATGTCCTCCCAACAATTGGTAAGTTTGCACCCTGGAATTGGGTGACCTTTCCTGCCGTGACCGAAAGTACAAATACATTTTAAAATGTAAGAAATGATGGATTGAAGCTGTCCTTAGAACTATCTGTGTTTCCGCCACCTTTACACAGGTTGCAGCAGGACATACACTTGATGGCCTTAAAGGGCAAGGGCAATATTTAAATTTGAAATAGTTTAAAAAATGGTTTACGTTTTTTTTTAAACGAGGTGTGGAACATTTTCCCTTTCCTCTGAAACTGATTAATAATCGATCAACCCTTCCACTTATTAATGCCAGACAGGCCATTGATACAATACTGTATGTACAGTGTAGTTAATTCCGAACAAAGTGTTTTAAGAAATGTGCCGTGTCCGAGGCGTCTCCTCTGGCCCTGAAGGCATCACGATGACGACACACGCAGTGCTTTGGTCACGTGACGCATTCACCTGTTCACAACCTGTTTATCCCTCGGACGCTTGATCCGCAAACCTCAGTGTTTCCTCTCGATAGTTTTACGTTTGACACACGTTTCGGCTCATTTTATTCAACAGGTGCCGATAAAAACACAACTTTTAAACTTAGTTGTCGTTTAGGGAGTTTTGAGGGTGTTTTTTTTTTTGGTTGGTTTTATTTCTTGGGCTGCGGTGTTTCCTCCGGACTTCGACCTCAGGGCGCAAGCTTGCGGCCTACCTGTGGCAACACGGAAGTGGAGACGGTTGGACCTTCAGTCGGCGTGTACTCGACAGCCCGCTCATAAATGACGCTTGACGCCTGCGGCCGCCGACCCTGAAAGGCGATTAAATTCTGATGTTGATCTGCTGACGCTCGTTCCGGGACGCTTCTTCGCCGTTTGTGGCAATTGTGTCGACTCCTCCGCAGTTCGGGACAAGGTGAGCACTTTTGAACACATTAGGTATCCGTGTATAACCCGTTTAAATCTTATTTTAAAACTCTATGTGAAAATTTCGATGTTTGTAAGAGTGTGGTTAGGGTCAGTCAACATATATTTATTAAAAGTAGATAATAACCAAAATTGTGGAATTTACTGGTAGAATTTGTGATTCAGTATAACTATTAACATTGAGGTGAACCTAATTAGTTGGCAAACACTACAATTAATAGCGCTGTTTCATCATCTTTTTAGCTTAACAAACAGCAGAGCTTTTTTTTCCCCCACTCATGCCTTGTCTATACAGTAGCTCTTGTCCTCACTCGATAAAATGCAAAGCCCATATATATATATATAGACACACACACACACACAAATAAAGTTTGTTGATAGGTCTCATTATGATGACGTGTGTTCCTCAGATGAACATCTCGGTGGCCGACATGGACGCGTCACTGGAGAACACTTCCATCGTCCATCTGAGCGCCCCCATCATCCCAGACAGGACAGATGTGTCCAACATGACCATCATTCGCACGGCTAATGGCACCATTCTGCAGGACCAGATTTTTCTCAACACCATGACCGCCCGTGCCCTCTCTGGCATCTTTGTGTGGTCCGCCTTGCTCATCACGTGCCACCAGGTAAGCAGGATTTGTTTAGAACTTTTTTTTTAAGTAACATTGTAAAATTTGAAACTGTCATACAAGTGTAAAAAGAAAACAAATACCAGCTGTTATACTTCAGGGAGAATATTCAGCATTTTTTGTCAATTAGTTTCAGTTTCAATTACTGTACACCTAAGATCCACTTGTCACACTCTGGTTTAAATCACTCAGTATTGGGTGGGCGCATGCAAATGCTCTGTAACATGACGGCCAAAGGCGATGCAGCAAGGCGCACATACTCAATCTTGCGAACTCAGATGACTAATTTTTTATTTTTTTAAATGAGTGATGTGCAGCAAACTAGTGACATTTTGCTTGGCACTGGAGCCCCACCTATTCATTAAAATGTAGTGCACATGAATAGAGGTAAATAAAAAGTTCTAAAAGATTAAATGAAACTCTTTTGTCTAAAATGTAAATACAAGCGAACACCACTTAACGCTGTACGTATTGTTTTATTTTTAATCTCAAAAATGTTTTTTTCTCCTCCAAACTGTACTGACTGTCATTATGCAACAAAGCAAATTAATAAAGGTGCCTCTTGATTAATGTTTAAAAAATGATTTAAACATTTAAAATTATTTTTTTTTTTTGCACTGTATGTTTTTTGTTTTTATTCGGGTGGAGGAAACCCTTTGTTTTTTGTGGAAAATATATCATAATGGTGTTTGATCAGTGTTTCTTTGTCTAATTTCTTTGTCCATATTTCAAATATCATTTTTGTCTAACACCTGGTGAAGAAGTGTGTGGTCCTAAGTGGCCACCTCAGTAGCTCTGATGAAAAACAGCGCCGCCCCCCAGCATTTAAATTGCCCATCCCTGCTATAGATTTTAATGTGCACATTATTGAATGCATCAAGGTTGTGCCCCTCACAATATGTGTAATCAGAGATGGCTTGAAAATGACACGCCGCGCTCACCTCCCTCGCCAAGGGACGGAAAGCAATTGTTCCATCCATAAAGTTTATTACCTCGCACTTCACCTTTACCGAGCTCACTTTGGTAGTTCCAAAGCAATGGCTTTCTCTTCAGCTTTGTGCCACCTCTCTTTTATGGTTTTACTGCACGAGGACATCACAGTTTAAAAGGAACATTTGGATTTTGAACATGTTTCCTTCTTGCGTGCACTTGGGTTCCACTGGTGATGATTGCTTATCATTGTGGTTTTATCATTTACTCGGAACACTGCGCCATCAGCAGTGAAATATGTCGAGGCCGTGCGCTAAGCGGGGTTCAGCAAATACTGTAACAGTGTATGCGTTGGATAAAGCGATTCCAATTAATTGCAAATTTCTGGCAAACATGAACACGATGTGCGCGTGTATTCTTCTGGAAACCATTTTCAGCCTTTCACTCATGCTCAATTAATCCGCTAATGGGTCTTACTAATCATCAACTTGACTGGCTAAGATTTTTTGGAGGGGGGAAAATGACTTGCTACAATGCATACTATCTTCCCTTTTCAGCCAAGATTGTCAAGAAAGTGGTTTTTAATCAACTCAAACGGACTCTGATGAATTACAATCAGGTTTCCGACCTCATCACAGTACAGAAACAGCTCTTATTAAAGTACAGAGTGATATAAGATTGAACACTGATGCACGGAAGGTGTCGTTGCTCGTCCTGTTGGATCTCAGTGCAGCATTTGATACAATTGATCATACCATACTGGTCAACATGTTGACTTAAATGCGATTAAATCGAACAATCGTACTTGGAGGGAAGACGATACTCTGTTACTATTGGAAGTTTTGAATCTGATCAAATGGCCATGAAATTTGAAGTCCCTCAAGGGTCAATCTTTGGACCCCTTTTTGTTCAGTCTGCGTATGTTACCTTTGGGTCCAATGCTTCAGAATGCTAACGTTGGCTATCGTGGTTATGCAGATGACATGTAGCTATATTTATCAATGTCTCCAAATGACATCCGTTCAATTAACATACCGTGCCGCTGTCTTGAGCAAATTAACAATTGGATGAAACAAAATGTCCTTCGCTGAATGGTTTGGAATCCTGAATACATTAAAGAGATGCTAATTGAATATTAGCCCAAGTAGGGCTCTGAGATGTGCAGTCTTGGGTCACTTAGTTGAGCCCGGAGTTCAAAGTTAACAGATGAAGCTGCATTTATTTATTATTATTATTATTTATGCTGCACACAAATGGAATCAGATGCCCGCAGAAGTGAAGTCAGCGCCGAGTATAAATGCTCTTCATCCCAGGTTAAAAACAGCCTCTCCCTTTCCTTTGATCAAGGTTTTTTTTAAGTTGTTTTTTTTTTCATTTAGTTATTTTAGAAACCACATCATATTTCTTGACTTTTACATGTTTTATGAAGTTAATTTTTGTAAACTCCCTTTGGGTTTTTTTTCCCCTGCTTTTCTTATGAATGTCATTAACTGTTATGTTTGTAAAAGCTTGTCGGTGTTTTTTTCCGTACTTGTGTGAAGCACACGGAGTTACCTTGCATCTTGAAACGTGCTCCGTAAATAAAGCTGCCTTGGCTTGCCTTGTCTTGCCTCATGGTAAGACAATGCTGGGCTATTTCAGTATCCAAAGCTGTTTACTCCTGTACGCAGGCATAATACAGGCCAAGCAAGTTCCTGGTTGCACTTATCCCTTTCGAGTTTCTGATTTATACAGCGACAGATGTTTGGCGTATCTCTTTTCTGCGCTACCCTGGTTACAGAGGGGGACTATTTACTGAAATTGCCCTTTGCTCACACAATTGTAAAGCATCAGAGGTTACTGTTCTGCCAGGTGTTTCCTTTTATGGTCTTGTTGCAAGCCTTGGCTCAGGTTACATCTTCATTTACATATACAGTGTATATTTTTTTATTTCCAAGAAAAGTATTCTCTCCGCATTGCAGAATTAATTACAATCTCCTTTTGCGCTCATCAAGGGCATGCAAGAGAGCAGCAGGCGCTGTCATAATCCCGTTTTTACCAGCCAAACTGAAGGAAAAACTTCATGAAAGCTACTTTAACAACAGCGGAGTAGGAGATGCTTCCGCAAATGTTCCAAAATTGTTATGCGCAAAACATTTTGGGCCCTGCGTCACATTATGCAGGCCAAACAATGAATCAGCCCGCTCGGAAAATGACATTTGCGGCCTTGATTGTAATGTTCATGTTATCATCGTTTCACAAACAGCCGTTTCGCTCTTCTAATACATCTTGTCACTAATCACGGCATGGCAGCGAGTTACATCCTGAAAATTAATGAATCTCCGCTGCTGCATTCTTCTGGCATATCTTCACAAAAAGCATTTGAAATGCCGCAATTAATCATAGCCCCGCTGGATACACAAAGTGCATTATGAATGTACAAGCAGATGCTCTGAATACTTTGTATGAACACGGAGTGTCACGGCAGTATGTTTTTCAGCTTTTCACTCTCCATTTTCATGGGACTTCTCTGATGTTTTTCGCACATGCTCTGTGTCCTCCTCTTAGATCTACACACACCTGCGCTCCTACACGGTGCCAAATGAGCAGCGCTACATCATCCGCATCCTCCTCATCGTGCCAATCTACGCCTTCGACTCCTGGCTCAGCCTGCTGTTCATCAGCAACAACCAGTACTATGTCTACTTCGATTCGGTTCGAGATTGCTACGAAGGTACATGCGCGTCCTACGCGCGCGTGAGATCCCCCCTTTTTCCACACCCGTCGAGGTTCTTGTTGAGTGGAAAGTGGATCCTCCCACACGTGTTACAGTGATGATCTTTTTTTTTTTTTGTATTTGAATCTATGCAGCCTATTCGGTTACATTTTCATACGCAACAGCCACAACATTAGGAACCCCAACACAATGTATGATCCAATAGTAGTACCACCTATTAAAAAAAAAGAAAATACTTGGCTCTAGAATATTTAAATGCAGTTGTATAGTAGGCGTAAGCGTTCGTCAAACACAAGACAGGTTTTATTCCTAAGTAGCAGGTTGGTAAGTGCTTTAAAACGTTTGACCGCCACGCTATGAAAAACTAAAGTCAAACTCAATTGGAGTTAGGCGGTGATTCGTTTGCATACCACCAGAGGGATCGTACGTGCCACACTTTGAGCATCACCGCACTACGACAACGCATTTCACATTTAACACCAAATTCTTTTCAGTGGTGGCTGTAATTTTGCGTTATTGTAGAATGGCACACCATCATGCCCAGAAGTCAAATGTGTTACGTCTATTTCTGTCAGGGTAGTGTACTATTCCAAACAGCTCACTGTATGATCAAATTCCGTTGTAGCCCACTCCAACCTGCCCTGTTATAATCATTCTAGTTAATAATCACACGTTGACGGTGTCAGTCAAAGCGCAGGCTTGTTTTCTTTGTAACGGCAGAATTTTTATCTTCGGCTCGTGTATTAAATCTGAAGAGGTGTGCGTTGTAAATAATTCCACATTGATGCTAATTTGTCAAATATTTCACCCGTGGAAAAGAGGATTCCGCGCAAAATTAATCGCGAGCCAATATGAGAGCGAATGTGGGGGGGCGGTGTGTGTGGGGTCGGGGGGGGGGGGAATTTTATTGGGGAGATTAGTTTCAAGTTTGAGGTGCAATTTTGTGGCTGACTGATGGCGGCAACACGTCCGAAAGCCAATATGACACCTAAGTCCCCCCCAACCCCCCACCCCCCTTTTTTTACTGGGCACCATCTGCATTAGCTTCATTTAATCCCTCCTTGAAATAGCAACAAAGGATTAGGAAGGGATTTCCAAGACACACAACCCTCGCAAGCCTCTTAATGTAAGAAGTGAAACATTTATTGTTCCATAATGTAGCACTAATTATTCTTTATCGCGCCCAAGTTGGCTCTGCCTCCTTTTTAAATGAAGTTTCATTTGAAGGTGATTGGAATTCTTTGGCGGGTTTTGCTGGTTTGTTTTGTGCAATCTGTTCAAACATGTTTTGAAGTGACTCTTCTTTTTCTTCCAGCATTTGTCATTTATAATTTTCTGAGTCTGTCCTTTGAATACCTGGGAGGAGAGAGTGCAATCATGTCCGAGATTCGAGGGAAGCCCATACAGTGAGTTGTCTTCTTATCCATCTCGAGATGCTGTTACAGGGAAGATGAATTCATATGTTTGCTCCACTTCTAATGACGCGCCACTCATCGCGGCTTTTCTAACTGCCCACTTTTAATCCACACTGTCAGTAAGCGCAATGTCTTCACTTTACACTGTATTTGTACAGACCTCTGCAATGAATCTGAATGGTTCCTTATTTATTGTGCAGGTCAAGCTGCCTGTATGGCACCTGCTGCCTGGGCGGGATGAGCTACTCCATTGGATTTTTGAGGTTTTGCAAACAGGTACAAGCTTCAATTTGCTGCTCCTTTGACAGTCACGCACTGCAAATAGGAAACTGCGGTCGAATTTCCATATTGTACGACATGAGCGACATTGGACTTTACGGGGGATCTGCTGTCGTTTTTTTTAAAGCAAACATAACAGGCATCTGTTTAAAACAATTTGCTGGTGTCTAAGTATGTTTGCGGCATGTCGTTTAATTTCACACTTGTTGAATGTGGAGGCACATCAATTTACCGTACATGGAACGTCACCTCCAAATTAAGCAAATGCACATCCCTATTGAGTCTACAGGGGGAGTTAATCATGACGTAAATTATCCCTGAACACAAGGCCGCCGACTTCCAAGGTGGGAAGAGAATAGAAGTAAGAATGTGCAAGCACTTAGAAAGATTCATACATGTCTTGGTGCCGTGACAAGTATGTGTGTCATCACTATTGAGCTAAATATCAAAAGATGCCCTGCGTTTGATAGACTCCTTGCATAAGTCAGACCTGATCAATTTTAGAAGCTGCGCTTTGGGGCGCTTGAACTGTAAGTCAAAGCGGGAGTAGCTTTGCTCTTAATTAATACTCGGGAGGACGCAACAAATCTGGCCTGTCGATAGTTGCCACCAGTGAACGATTGCAAGTGCAAATTGTATGAAAAGGAAAAAGCCTCGGGTCATTCTGAGCTGGGAATTGATGATTCAAAATTGATTTAGTCATTTTTAATGGAAAATGCCCGCGGGTTGCCAGCGCGTTTAGCAAAATAACAATGGTGACTCTGTTGCACTTTCTTCTCAAGTCACTCGACTGCTGGGTCGCCTTCTTTATAAAACAGACCTGAAACGAAAGCCGCGGAGAAAGTGGGTACATCGTGATTAATTCAAGGTTAAAGGTGACGCATCTCTGAATGGATGCCGTCTCTCTCGCTCTCTTGCTCTCAATTCATTTGCGGCAGGAAATACAGTTGACTTTTGGACGTGCTTTGCATCCTCCTGAATGTCCCGCTTGTCAGAGGCGATCGTGCCGACTTGTTTTTCTTTGCACGCGCAAAGAGACAAAATGGCACCAGGACTGGCAGAAAGGACAAGCCGAGTCCCTTGTAAGGATGATTACTCATGCAATTTAGTTAAGCCCACCACGGCCCACCTTATCGAGCCCCGCCCACTCGGACTGTTGCCTTTAAGAGGCACATAGTGGGAGTCGCGAAGCACACGTGAGGGTCAACGGCCTCTCTGAACCTGACGCAGCAGCAGACGTCAGCAGCAGGTGCTCTCCTCTTTCTTTTCAAATCCTCTTTGGATTTTGACAACCGAAACGCTCCTACTGCAGCAACGAGGCTGCCTACTGTTCTGTATTCTGTATATACGCACTCAGAACACTTCTCGAATCAGATCCAATACGTTCGCCGTATGTCATTAACGGTTATTTAGTTGTACTTTAATTTTGCCCCCTTCAAAGTAACTAAAATATTAGGAACAGCTCGGTGCAGGCCTGAACCGCTGCAAACAACAACAAGCACGATAATAAATCGAATTATGAATTTATTTAATACCCGAGGAGTGTAAACTTGTTACAGGCAGAATTTACGATGCAACTTGTGCATTCAAGCTTATTAGATGTGTATCTGGTTAATCCATAATGAATCATCCACACTGGGCACATTGGTGTCCTGCGAGCTGGAATCATTGTACAACCAAATCCTCAGTCCTTCTTATCATTCCTATGGTGTGTTTGTTTGTTTGTTTATTTGTTTGTTTCCCAGGCAACTCTTCAGTTCTGCATCGTCAAACCCATCATGGCGGCCATCACCATTATCCTGCAAGCCTACGGCAAATACCACGATGGGGATTTTAAGTGAGCTGCGCCTCTCTCTATTATTTTGTGTCTCTTCCCTTCGCTCTTTTCCAGCCTCTTAGTTTGCACTAATGGCGCAAATGTGTGAGTGATGGCGGCTCTTTATATAGCACCCCAAAGCATCTCCTCAAGAGCTGTTCTTTTCACGGCGCATCTTCAGCCCTGACTCTGAAAGTGTCATTAAAACGCTCTATGCGGGTGAATTTGTAAATGGCGAATGGGCTGTCATTTGTATAGCGCTTTACACTGTTACCTCGTTCACCTGCTGGCGACGGAGCATCAGGAGCAACTGGGGATTAACAGTGTCCTGCTCAAGGACACTTCGACATGGTTGCAACGGCCGGGGACCGAACCACCAACCCCCGGGTCGGGGAAACGAGCGCTCTCCCACTGAGGAATGTTACCACGTTTCTTTTTAATCATCTCATGTTGTTCAGCCTGCTGTGGGTTCCTCCCTGCGCCACAGTAATTAGTCTGCTGAGCCCTAGAGGACGAGCAAAGGCAGGCTGACGGTTAAATAAACAACAATTCGTTGATCAGATGCACGCTGAGGTACAGAGTTGAAACAAGACCTCCATTTGTTGCTTGTTGAAACACGAGACCACCTGTGTTGTCTGGCTCGTTCAAATCCGGTCAAACCTCTCAGTACAAAGATAATAACGGAGAGAGAAATTACCCCTTCAATCCCGTCTCTCAAAAGCTGAATTGTACAAAGGCGAATCCATTATGAGGCCAGTTGTCATCATGTTGTTTTCTCTGCAGCGTCAACGGGGGCTACTTGTACATCACCATCATCTACAACTTCTCCGTCAGCCTGTCGCTCTACGCCCTCTTCCTCTTCTTCTTCGCCACCAGCGACCTACTCAGGCCATACGAGCCCGTGCTCAAGTTCCTCACGATCAAGTCTGTCATCTTCTTGTCCTTCTGGCAAGGTAAAGTCCCACACGGAAGATTCACATTCAGAACCGAGAAGAGAGCCAATGTTCATTTGTGGGCCGTTTAAGGCATGGTCCTCGCCATCCTGGAACGCTGCGGCGTCATTCCCAACGCGCTTTATATCGACGGGCAAGAAGTCGGCGCCGGCACGGTGGCGGCCGGCTGGCAGAACTTCATCATCTGCATGGAGATGTTCTTCGCCGCCATTGTCCTGCGATACGCCTTCACCTGCACTGTCTACCAGGAGAAGAAGGATGACGTTCCACGTGAGTGAGATTGTTTCCTGAGTGAACACCAATTGTGTTGCTGGGTTTTTTTTTTTCTTTGAAATAAACAAGCCGGGAGGTGCTTGTATTTACATAGTGAGTCAGGAGCATTAACTGGACACAGAGACAACATGAGAACCAGGTGTTTGGAGTTATACAGTGCAGGACATCCTTTTATTGTTTGGACGGGTTTGGTTCTCATGTTTAAAGTGGAATGCTGACATTTCGTACAGCACCGCCCTTTGCTGTCGAATGGAATTGACGTCAAACTGTCCTTGGGCTCGCATTGGGAGCCATGAACGGCGTCATTTGATTTGGCATCGTAGATGCACCGCAATATTCAAGTCCGCTAACCAGAGGCTGAGCTGCACTGTAATTGTTCATGGCGTAGGCGTGTTGCAAAAACCCGTGAGCCGCTTTCACTCTTTCTTTTACCCACAACTTTTTCATACCACTTATTAACACCCCACAACGCTCACATTCCCGATATAGAAAGCATCCCGTCGATGCAGAGCATCTCCAGTGGTCTGAAGGAGACCATCAACCCGGGCGACATGGTGCAAGATGCCATCCACAACTTCTCCCCGGCCTACCAGCAGTACACACAGCAGTCCACGCAGGAGGTGGTCCCACCGTGCCCCAACGGGAAAGCCCCCTCCACCTCCAGCAAGGGCTCCCGCAAGTCGGACAAGGTCATGCTGATCATGTCCGACGATGAGTTCTAAGCTGCCACGTCGAGGTGAGTGTGTCCTCACCCCCCCCCCCCCCCCCCCCGAAACGGTTATATCTCACGAGGCACAAAACTGGATTGTATTTAATTGTCATCAACACAGTGTTGAGCAACGGCTGCTTACTCCAAATACACATTGTAAGGATAAACCCGTTTTTAAGTAATGTAGCTCAGCGGCATGAGATTTTTGCCTTCCTGGCCTTATAAGGAACACACAAATTAACATCCTCTGTGATATCAAACAAGCAACAATGTGACTCCAGGAGTGTGGCAATGGCGAAGGATTGCTTTTTTTTTTTTTGGTCTCGTTTGGGAGTCATGAAGCATGGAAGTTCCTGGACAGACATACTGGTTTTGGAGCGGGTACTTCAAACTGCACAATATATCACTGCGGAGTTTTTTTTTTTTGTATGTATTGCAATGCATCTCCTTGTCACAGTCGACCTCTTACATAGTGGGAGTTGTTTTCATTTGAGATAGTCCAACTAGAAGGCAGATTTGTAGCATCTGCGCTTATTGTGAATATTTTTCACTCCGCCTTTTAGTATCAGGGTCACTATTTATAATTCCATGGATTCTCTATTAAAATATTTACAGATTTGATTGTAATTATACTATACAGGTGCATCTCAATGAATGATTATATCATGGAAAATGTAATTTATTTTTATAGGTTAGTTCAAAAAGTGAAACTCGGAGATAATGGCAGATTGACGACACTCATATGGCGATGGCTTGCAGCTAACACCAAACCCAAATTCACCAACTCAAGAAATGTTTATATTACATAAACAATCAAAATGAACGTTAATGTAGAAACTTGGTCAGAAGGTGCTTTTTTCTGCCTTTGCTTGATTTTTTTTTTTTTTTTTTTGGTTTTTATTCAATGATATGAGTTTCACTTCTTGAATTGACGCTATTCTATTTTATTGAGAGACATCTGTAAACATTTTGCGTGGAAGATGTTCTGTATTTTGAAGAGACTGATTTTCAAAAAAAAAACAATAAAGGCATTTTTTTTTAAATTGTCGACTGGCCATTTTGTACATTTGTCATAATTTTAATACCCGTCTGGACCAATCATTGCTCTTTTTGAGACTACTTACATCATGGAATTTCAAATCATACAAAATAAAGACACCTTTGTGTATGTGTGAGGGAGTAATTAAAGTGAGCCAATTTGTGCCAGTTTTTTTAACAAGGAGAAATTTTTATTTGTGAGTACAAAAACGAGACAGCAGACACATTGTCGCGGAATAATTTAGCATGGTTGAAAATAACGCAGCAGAGACAAACAGAATTTACACACCAGGTTAGCTCAATGGGGGGGGCACATCAGAAAGTGAGTTGACAAAAAATAATTTAGCTGTCTCAATGAAAATTCAACAGATGAGTGAAATAAATACGCAAGAGCAGAGTAACGATGTCTGCTGCCTTCTCGCAGCTATTTTTAGCCTGCACAAAACTTGGCAATAAATTGCATCCACATTCTCGATAAGTGATTTTCCGAAGTGCTACACAATTTTCTTTTAACCTGTAGCTTGTTTGACTGGTCGAGCTTGTTTGGACAACTAAATGAATCAACGCTCATCTATGCAAGCACATTTCTAGACTGCCATCATCATGGCTCATAGGAGGATGTATGCGAAAGATCCAGGGAAGAAGCGGACTGCTTACACAGCCCCAAAAAGGTCACGTCATCTTCATCTTCATCTTCTACATGTTGCTCTTAACTGCTTTGTGTGAAGCGGATACTTTTTTTTCCTCTGGTATTTTACAGATGGCATGCATGTGGGCGCCAGCAACATACTCGATTCACCTTGATTAAGGTTTGTCTGTTCTTTTTGCCACTTTCTAAACTAAAGTGTGAACTGTAACAGTGCCTCGTTTTGCCACATGGGGTCGCTGTCGGCTGAAACCTTCCGTATATCAATAGTCTTTGTTTTTACATGTCTGCCTCAGGGTTCATTGTGGAGTGACAGAATCCAATTTAGCAGCTGTGGAAATTCAGGTAAGGTTCAACGGCTGTTACAAAAGCATCACCATCATCGTTAAAAGTGAAGTCGGAACAAATAAGCGTCAACAATAATACACGACGTGTGCTGTACATGCATGCTTACATAACACATGGGAGTCAAACATGTTAACACGCAATGGCCGTCTGGATTTTTGCACTTTTTTTTTTTTTTTTTTACATCAAAAGTGAACCGTCAGAATGTCAACATAATTCAAGTGAAGTAAAACAAAAACAAAAAACAACGGCATCTTGCGTGAAACCTCAGTCGTGTGGACACAACAACAAAAAAAATGCGGTCCGTGGCCTATAAATACTCAAAGTCATGGCAAAAGTATTTTTCTCGTTGTAAATGTAATGTCTGGACACCTTTTCGCCATCAATTACGAATAGTACGTGGACTTCAAAAGAACGGTTACGTAAATCACACCACTCCCATGATAGTAACATAAATATAGAAAAATATGTAATGTATTTATATCATGTACTTAATGAATATAAAACCTATGTGTCAGGAATAGGACATAAGATACAAAGTACAAAAACAGAATAAGAACACAGCTGTAAGGTCACAGCAGGTTGTACAGCAGCAAAGCCCCCCCCACCCCACCCTCACCCCCCAATCCCCCCATCTGTCTACTTTTTTTCAGGCTGGGGGGGAGGGGACATAAGTCATGTTCTTTTGGCCGAGACAAGATCTTGACATGAGCAAGCGTTTTTTTTTTTTTCCAAGGCCTTAAAAGCACGGATGGTTACTACATTTGGTTGCCATGGCAACCGAACGGTTCCTTGAGTTTTCTACCTGCTTATGAGGCGAGCTTCAGGAGTTCTCCCATAGAAGAGTGCGTTCAAAGCAACGGAAGCAAAAACAAGGGGAAAAAAAATTTGAAAATGAAAATAATCGTATTTCTGAGTCAACAGCAGCAACACTTGGCCTGACCCTGCAGTAGGAATGACGCTTTTACTTTCTGGACGGAGTCAAGTGACCGCAGCTGAAAGTGAGCCTGAAGTCCAAAGCTTTAATGTACAGGAAGTATTTTCTTGGTAAAGACCTGTCATTATGTTATTTTAACTTCATCCAATATGGATGACCTTCCAGAGAGTGGCATTTAAGAGCCAGAAATAACCGAACTAGAAATTGCAGTCTACTCAGAAATTGTGCGTGAATGCTGAGAGAGTCTGTCACCAAGTCGAAGTCGAAGTACTAGTAAGAAAAAGGAAATTGAGAGCGATTAATTTTTTTTTTTTTTTAATCTGCTTCATCTCCAATAAGTGCTAGGACTGACCCAAAAAAACAAAACAAAAAAAAAAAAGGTAAGCGCAGTTTGTTTGAGAACAATAACAAAAAGTAAACTCATACATTTATGGAAACATGACAATAGTCCTTAATTTCATCCTCCCAAAAAGTGGCAAAGTAAAAATATTTTTTTTAAAATCTAAGGAGGGGGTTAGGTTTTAATTTTACAAGTTCCAATGAGACATTAAAGTTATAATTTGAGGGAAAAAAAGCTGAAATATAGTTAATATTTTTATGAAACAAAATGTTTAATAAAAGGATGACTTCCCAAAATTACAAATAAAATATAGTTTATGGTAAAAATCATGACAAATTATTTTTACGAAACCAAAATGTGTGATAAGATCAAAAAGTTAAAACAAATTTACAGAGACAAGTTATGAAAAAAATGAAATTGGTCACAATTCTACGAAAACACTAACATTAAGAGAAAGTCGTTATTTGGTAGAAAAAAAATATTACAATACCCCTAACTTGATGAGAAAAATTGTACCATTTTATGGAGGAAAAAAATCAAATTTTACCCCAAAATTGAATTTAATAAAAGAATAAAGTTGCGATTTGATGACACTGTCGCATTCCAAGAACAAGTATTTTTTTTCAGTGCTCGTCTCTCAGCATTCACACAGTAAGTGCCGCTGGACAGAAAGTAGCTGTTTGCTTGTATCAGGCTCTTGCAGCAAAGTCATGGCACGTTTCCCCCCCCCCTTTTTTTTTTATGACACTCATCACTTCCTGACTGTCGACACGCACCTTTTGGATTGGTGTAGTCCTATCCTGTAACCGGAATATCCTTATAAGTGCTCTATGGGGAAGACGCTGTGAAAAGGTCAACAAACACTTGAAATCGCTCGGTGAAGTCAAAATGCAGTCTACTTATCTTGCTACATGACAAGTTAAAACGCAATCTGCTGACTCCATGAACAGAGTGGACTACCAGGCATGCAAATATCTCTTTGAAAAAAAAAAAAGGATCTCTCGGTCCTTCTTCAAGGCAGCACTTGATGTGCTTGGAAATGATTCGGTGTGGTTTGACATCATTTCAAACCAAGAATGTGGACTGGTGCTGCCACCCGAAGGCATGTCGGACATTTTTTTTTTGTCGTTATTTTTCTAAATCTCTGTGCTCAGTCAAGAAGAGGAACCCTGGCAGTGCTGTTAGGACGGTTTCGGGGGGTGGGGCAGGTGGTTTGCATAGTGCAAATAAATACAGGCTGTACCAAAAGTCACTTATAGACGTCCCTTTTTTTTTTTCCTACTTAATTTCAGGTATCATTCAGACAGAATTGAGGCTATCGGCGTTGGCTTGGCAGTTTGTGGAAGCCTATCATGAAATCAGCTGTCAAATACTGATGGCCTCACGTCTGTCCAAATGATGCCTGAAACAAAATACAAACAAGGACGTTGACGGTGACTTTTGGAACACCAACAAAAAAAACCCCCCTTAAAAAAAAAAAAAAAAAAAAAAAAA